ACTGGTGAGTGGTGATATATTTATGCATGGATTTAAACAAAACATATCAGAACAAAAATTAAAAGCACCACATGAATTAAAACCAAAATTTGTGCATGAATTGATTAAATTAAGACTTCATTCTATCAGAAAAATTTAAGTACATAACTTCTTTATTACAGTGAGAGCGACATTTCGGTGTAGGTTCTTACTGCGTTATCAAGCAAGTGATGACAGTGTGAGATGGTGTTAGAACCTACACCGAAACGTCGCTCTGACTATAATAAAGAGGTTGTTTTTCCATATACTGTTATCCTTAGTGCTCAAACATCTAACTGCCTCTCGAACACGTAATTTTTCCTATCAACGACATTTCCAATTATTGATTCTTTTACCCAGGACTATTAACAGGTATCAATTCTTGTTGCAAACTCTACACTGAGAATGCAGCAGGCTTATCTCTTAACTAGAAATCAACAGAAGTCCAAATTATACCTCCGCGTCTGCTCCAGGACGGTTCTTCAACACAGTGATGTGATAACAGCCATCGTCGTCACTGTGATACAAATACACCACATTATCCTCAGAACTGACCATTGGCCGAGCATCATCATCCTGATTCGACTTTGTGTTTTCCCACTTAGCATCTACAGGGACGGTGATTGGCTGGTTCACAGTACAATCGCAGGACGCGATGCAGTTGGCTTGAGCTTCCAGAACGGTAGAAGCACTATACTGACTCAGACGTCTGCTCCTTGGCTGCGATACTTCTGGTTTCCTTACAGAACCTTCTCTTAAAAGTACTGGCGGCAATGGTGGCTCTGATCTCCGTGAAAATGCCATAGTTACAGTTTTCTTGTTGACCAAAAAAAATGACTTCACAAAATATAGTAAGTTTGGTTTTGCATAATCATATTATTTACTTTACAATTTGAAAACAAATCAGCACAATTACTCAGTTTTACATTCATTAGAAGTTCGAAATCAGGAGGTTAACAAAACCAAACTACAGGTCTCAAGATGTAATGTGCACATTTAACATTTTGAAGAAATAACTGCCACTCACTTTTCACTTGATTATTCCTTGAACCAATTAACTGAAACATCTAATGAAATTTCTCAAAAATTTCACAATCAAATATTTGGTTCCATTATATTCACTTTTCTTCAACTCAAATTATTCATATGAGAATACTACTTTCCTCACAACTCACTTGCATTCAGAAAATATTAAATCGGTTGGTGAGATTCTTCAAACAGTCACATAAATATCCTGTGGCTTTTCTTTAGAGATATTCTGGTGATTATACTTTCCTTACAACTCAGTTTCACGGAGACAATATATCCGTCTGAGAAATCCTTGACACAGTCACAAACAATTCCTGTAGCTTTCCTTTAGGATATTCTTGATTATACTTCCTTACAACTCACACAGAGACAATATCAGATCAGTTTGAGAAATCATTGACACACATGCAATTCCTGTAGCGTTCCTTTAGACATACTCTGGTGATATTACTTTCCTTACAACTCACTTGTCTTGAGACAATATCAGAACAGTTTGAGAAATCCTTGACACACATACAATTCCTGTAGCTTTCCTTTAAACATACTCGTGTGTCAGCCACTTCAGTAAGGAGCCATTCACATAGATCGACTTCCAAACACCCAGCTTGAAAATCACACGTTGCCCAATGATATAATCCTTCCTGTAGCTAAATCCTTCATGTTAGGGCAACAACAACATATCCATGGACACAATCCTACATATTACATATGTGGGACATAAAACACAAGTCGTACATTAGACATTGTCAGTGAAATCCATCCAGGAAGTGACAACTCTACCTGCAGACAGAAATACTACGCACAACAAAATGGAATTTCCACATCGTCATAAACCAATAGCAAATCCCCTCAGATAGCTGTGTCCTAGTTTGACATGGTTGCAAGAGTATGAATGGCCTTGCACACACAGCAACGTCCTAACAATAAGGCAGCAATACATGCTTCACTGGAGGCCATATAGACTACTAGGCTACCTGGGTATTACTATTTTTATTTTTACTATCGTCAGTGATGTTTCATAAACACTCGTCACTCGAAATATACTCGATATACCCGTCCACAAACAACATTACGATAGTAACAACCACAAAGGTAAACATGATATCACTGTTCTCAATATCACCGTCCGCCTTAGAAATCTGATCTTTCAAATACTTTCCAAACGACTCAGGAAAACATTCCTTCACTTGTCCTCTAAGTTAACTGCTAGTTCTGTTTCAAAAAGAAACATGTTTACTGTATTGACATTTTCTGTCAGTTTTAGTCAGGTCTAATTTATCACAAAATAGAGGCAGAAAATAGGCTGTGATTTCAACCCTTAATTACTTCTAATCAATGTGGGCAAAAATTATTGAACTTTCACAGGTTGTAGTCTAGGGCCTATGAGTTTAAAAGCTGCATAGGCATAGCAAGTCCTCTCAATTCATTTTTTTGTAATGCCTTAAATGGGGTCCATGCTGAAGAAACAGGATGCAAACACCATTGGTAGAATTTTTGCAATGGCCGGCTTTTATTCAAAATATTTTAGATTAAACTGACCTGAGACATGTTTGGTTGGCACAGAGCTTCATATCATGTTCCTGAAAAGGCAACCTTATCACACAAACTACATAATATAAAATGGAAACCATGAAAGAGAACTCTTGCAAATTCATCTAAATGTTCAACATATTGGACCATAAAAATTTACAATAAGTAGACATGTTTATTACTATTTCTTTCCTTTTAGCTTCTAAATTACTCTACTTTCAAACATCGTATCACCACATGCCAGTTCAAACAGGAAGATGGAATAACACTCAAGTGCATGATAAAAATGTGTGAAATGAACAATGTTGGTGATAGATATCATAATATTTTTACGATGCTATCACCCTTCATACAGGAACTGACTAAAGCTTCTTGTCTATATCGTCTACACTTGCTCTTTGTCCACACAACTGATGAATTAATATCTCTGTGTAATAATACTTATTTCAACCAATCACAATTAAGATCTATATTTTGTCCTCATTACAACTGATTAGTGTGTCACTGCCATAGTACCGCTATGGAGACATAGAAAGCCATCAAGAAAAAGCCATCGTTAAAGAGGAGACATCTGAATTGCTGACCCCTATGTCATCCATCAGATATTATCTGGGATTTGAAATTATGTGGTCTTAATGGGCAAACTGGGACAAAATCATTATTTTGTTTTAAATTTTATATTTTTATTAATTTTCCTACATTATAATAATAAATAAATGTGCATTTATAATGCGCACAATCCAGACAGATATGCCTGCTCAAGGCGCTACAAGGGGATTGTATAAAGATAAAAGTCAGGGAGTGTTGACTGGATTTAAATGTCACTATGATACTTGGAGAACATTCCTAAAGCCTGAACACCTGATCATGTAAGTCGCCTCTTCCAACAAGCATGGGTTGCTGTAGATCAAATTTAAGTAGATCTTCATAGGTGCTGCAAGTTTTGAAAATACCAGTGAAAACAAGAAACCTGCAAATCAAAAATAGAAACACTGAAATCTTACCTTGATTGTGAAAAATAACTTCCAAGATGAAAATAACAGGTTTCATTCCACATGGAATCAAAGTGTTGACCTAAGATGTTACAGTGATGAAAAATTGCTGATCCAACATTAAACTTAAACTCAGACATTCTTGGATGTTACACAACAAACCTGAACTTGTACATGATAACTAATCACTAGGTATGGTTATATCACCCGAGCACAAAACGGCCGTGACAGAGTTATGTACTTTGGTATGTAGATAAAACACTCAACTTCTTAGTGACCTATGACCTATGACCTAATACATGACAACATGAACAGGGCCATATCTAATTTCAATGCAATCAATTATTTAACTGTTCAATGTTTATTTCATATTTTATCAATTGATTTTATTTATTTATTATTAATGATTATATTTATTTAATGTACATATCAGTATGTTGACAAGAAATCAGGAATTATTTAGACTTTGTCAGAGGTCGATGATCAGTCCTAAATCGGTAGTAAATGGTGTTAAAATTCCAAGTCATGTCATTATGATAATAACAAATGTTATTGGCACAGATGACATCCATTTCTTGAATCTAATCATATAATTCTGTATCAAGTTTCAACAAAACAAAATGCTAATTTTACCCGACCCTATCCTCACCTCAAACCCCCCACCCCAACCCCACCCCACTGTTTTTCAGTGTACATAGGGCTAAAATGGATAGCATTGAATTGGCATAATGGGCTCTCACTGACAAAAAATGCAAATAAATAACATGGATAATGATTTAATATAGAAATCTTTCAGTGTTTCGTCACAAGGCATTTTGACGACATGATATAGTGTCCTTGAAGACATTCTCAGGGGCCCACCTAATGCTACTAAAAAATATAAATTTAAAAAAGATAAAATTGACCCACCTATCCTATTCTTAAAAAGCATGTAATAGGAAACGGACATATAGGGTTTTTTGGGCCTCACCAGATAACATCACCAAGACAGGATCACAATGCGTTAACAACAGCAAGTTGAAGTCACTCTACATCACTAAGTCAGCATCACCAGTACATTTGTTTTTGCAGTTTTCGGCAATTTTTTAGAATATTTTGGGAAGACATGACCTATATGAGATCAGATAAACATTTCTGTCAAATATTTCAGTTATGCTGTGTTGAGATTTTGGAAAATAAAGCATTGTTATAACACTCTGAGAATATATTAGCGTAAAGGTCAGAGAAGGTCTGAAACATACTGATCCTGATAATACATTACATCATAATACCTAGAAAGATGATATTACAGTGGTTAGTTCGTCATGCCGAAGATCTGGGTTCGATTCCCCACATGGGTACAATATGTCAAGCCCATTTCTGGTGTCCCCGCCGTGATATAGCTGGAATATTGCTAAAAGCGGCGTAAAACTGAAACTCACTCACTAACTCACCCTAGAAAGATCCAGAGTAAAAACTTTTAGGTACTGGCACACTTGCATCTTACTGATTGTTACTTTTGACTACTTGATAATATTAGATATAAGGTTTTATTTTCAGGAGTCTGCAAAAATGATTTGCTTTGAAACCACGACCATTGGTATGGTGCTTACAAACCACGATACATAATTATTGCTTATCTAGGATTCGCACCTGTATAATCACATGTTAATGGCACGCCTAGGGGACACAACTCTGATAAAGTCTGCAGATCTATACTGAAAATGGGGTGAGTGAGTATGGTTTTACACTGCTTTTGGCAATATTCCAGCAATATCACAGCGAGGGGACACCAGAAATGGGCTTCACACATTGTACCCATGTGGGGAATCGAACCCTGGTCTTCAGTGTGAAGAGGACGCTTTAACCACTAGGCTACCCCACCGTCCCTATATCGAAAATGGGCACCAGATCAAGGAGTATGTTTGCTTACTTAAAATGTCAGCTCCAATTCTATTCACCATTCTCTCAAGATTTTGATAATTACGCAAAATATTCTTTTATACTCATCAGTGCATAATCCTGTTAGCCTACTTTGCAGACATGTCTATTACATTGTATTAGTTGTTGTTTAACGCCACATTCAGCAATATTCCAGCTATATGGCGGTGGCCAGCAAATAATCCAGTCTGGACCAGCCAATCCAGTGGCAAACATCATCAACATCTACACAACTGGGACATGATGACATGTGTCAAACAAGTCAGCGAGACTGAAAACCCGATCCCATTAGCCGTCTCTTACGACAAGCATGGGTTACTGAAGACCAATTCTACCCCTAATCTTCACGGGTATCTATTACGTTGCATTGCAAATATTTTCAATGGAAACACATTTACAAAAAGGTAAAAGAGATTGACATCAATGGTGATTTTCAGGGAATAGAAAATATTTTAACTGTCCACAAGAGAAACACAAAACACAAATTGGGAATCATTCAAAAAGATAACTCATCCTCTATCTACACAACATGTGGAGATCCGAGATACAATTGATCTTCAGTAACCCATGGCAACTAACGGGATAGACTTGCTGAATTGGTACTGGTAGATACATGTCATCGTATCCTTATTGCATGGATGGATGTTCATGTCAATCACTGGATTGTCTGGTCCAGGCTTGATTATTTACCTACTCCCATCATATAGATGGAATATTGCTGAGTACATCATGAAACAAACGTAAGGAATTCAACCTGGATCTATTTCAAAACAATACTGTAACATTATTGTCAACACAAATGTGCAAATCCTGATTATACAGTTTTCATTTATTCCTCTTCAAATTCAGTTTGTTTTGCAATGGCAGTGTAGCTTCCAGTTTACAAACAATGACAACAGAAGAAATGTAGTCTGTCTCACAGTCCCTGAACCACATTAATTTCCCTACCGCCAAGCCCTCTCTGCAGTGCTAAAGCCCTAAATAAAGCAAGTCTAGATTTCAATCTCTGGTCTCCCTAGGGCTCCTTTTCAATATAAATGGGCTTGTTTGTTACTATCAAAATTATATATATTCAGAGACTAAGCCTTAGTCTAGAAGAAATGTTACAAGGAAGGATTACATTACCTTTGCACAAATTTAAAAAATTGCCTTTTTGTTTGTGAAATGCAATACTCAGCAATACTCAAGCCATAGGCTATGATGGTGGTCTGGACCAGACAATCAGAGCAAATCAGAGAGAATAATCATCCAGAGCTGTGGGTTGCCTGTTATGACAAGCATGAGCTGCTGAACTACAAATCTAACCTGACAGAATACCCGCTAAAGCAGCTGAAAAAAGTCTGGGCTAATTAGAACATGACTGACACAACATAAGATCTGTTAACTTTTCTAGGACACTGGCTTACTGTCATTGCAAATGAAGACTGTTTTCGTATTTGGTAATGACAATAAGGATGTAAAAAAGTTGGAGCCCAAAAGTTAATCGAATCATCAACAGTATTTCCTGACATTTGACTCCAGCAAAATAAAAACTGAAAATTACAATAATTTTAAGTATAACTAATCAATCCCAAAGATGGTTTCCTTGAGTGGCATTATACAGATCTATATTGTATATTACACAAATTACACTAAGCAAAATAAAAATAAAACACTAACGGTTACTAAGAATACCCGCCTACACATCTGCTGCATAACGTGGCAAGTCACCTGTGTCAACATTTTTTTCACCAATATATAGAATGACAGTCTATTGGGAAAACCCGAAACTTACATAGATTGGAGGTTTTGTTGGGTATGACTCACGTCCACGGCCATACAAATGGGTGCAGGTCTTTAAAGTTTACTGAAGGGTTTAGTTACTTATGAAGTCCAAATGGCCACTCTAATCTTTACTTCTGCCTCGTGACATGCAAGAAATAGGTAAAAATATAACCCATACTAGTGCGAGGCGGTACGTTTCAGCTTACTCTTCCTGGAAACTTCGTTAGAAATTGCCAACTGAAAATAGAACGCTTGTAATGTCTCGTTGACATGCAGCGTTGTACAACTTCCGGGTTTGTTTGGTGATAGAGGTTAGGCGATCGGAGTTATCTGCCCTTGGAGGCACGCAAATCGTTCTTGATTATTGACAGATATCGTTGTCCATCACAACAACTTCTAATCTAGATCAAGATGTTTTAAAAAACACAGGGAACAATGTTTATTTGATAATCTTCTCGTTATATTATTTATATGGACATCAATTATATTTTTATACTACGCACTTGTCATAATATTTTCTGCGCTCTAAATAACTCTTAATTGTAAGTTCACTGATTACAATATAATGTACTTTCTACTAAGCGTCATTTCTTCAGTACATTTTGGATAAGCTATCGCACAGACGTTGGTGTTTAAATACCCTACACGGTGTTTTTTATATTACTCTAATTTATCTGTCGTAGCACGAATTAGTATAACCTGATAACGTCACTTGAGAAAATAGATATCCCTTCCTACGGCACTCGATGAGAAAAAACGACAGGTGGTATGACGTCACGGTGTTTCATTGTTTCCTCAAGACACTTGATGGTCTGCATTATTGTGGGTTTGGTGGATAAGTTACATGTATTAGGGTCACTAGGGTTCGAATCAATGTTTGGACAATATATTTTTTTAAATCAAAATCTAGATTTTTGCAATCATAAATCACTAATTATATAGTGTATTCTAAATAATAGTGTAGCGGTAGAAGCTTCTAAAATCTTCACCGATTTCGTTCAAATTTGAAATATACTCATGCCAATAATGGTTGTCACCCCTTCAATTTTTTTAATTGGAGAGGGGTGTGAGTGGGGGTGGGGGTGGGGTGGGGAAGGGGGTGACAACCATTATTGGCATGAGTATATATGTTAATCGGAACAAAACAATATAGGATTGCAAAATTCTAGATATTTTTCTTTTTAAATTATTGTCCAAACGGTGATTCGAACCCACGTGGTGCGGAGACGCAGGGAGAGTTCGGGGGTTGAAAGCACGAAAATGGGAGGCATTGAGGTTGGGGTTTGAAAAGTTGTACAGTTTCAAATTTTAAAAATCAAGTAAAACTATGTACAGAGACAGGAGAAATTATCAAGTTTTTTTCACTCTCCCTCGCTCTGTTTTGTAAATACAATGCCATGTTTCCATATTTTAGATATCAGTAATTCCTCATCGAATTCATATAAACAACAAAGTTGTTATTTCACTTTCTTCTGAAGTTAAGGACTTAAATATGCTCCGCCAAAGAAGGTACGTTAGCTGCAATTTTTAATGCATCTTTCCTTACTGTAGGTCGATATATACTACTCATACTTTGATAAGGGTCACAATAATTCACAACTTTACTTAAACGTACAAGTATAATCATAGTAAATGAATAAGTCGGGCTCTTTTACATGTGACATTGTCTAACAAAGATCAACAGAGCTACAGATAACTTTTTGGGTCATTGAGTTATGTATAGTCGATTGTGTTCATCTCAATTGGGTATCCCAATTTTCCCTTGAGTAACCTATTGTCCTCCTGAGAGGGTACGTAAGTCCCAACACATTTAGAGTAAAGTTAGGCTTGCCACGTTTTTAATCTTAGAATATGTGTGGTTTTAATTTATGGCTAGATTTCTCTTCTGTCGCCAATGGCTGAAGGGATGGTATAAATCCAACTAGGGTCCATGCAGGTAGCAAAAGTAATGTAAGTCCCCATGGTCCCTGGTATGGTGATCTACCTTCAGTTATTGGCGATTTATAGCCCATTTTTATACTGTATTGTTTTTCCCCTATAGTTAAAACGTTTTAGATTTAATTACTAGTTTTACATACATATCTGTGATATTCTAGTTGTTTTACTGTCCTTCGTCGGCAGGTTTTTTATAATATACATATATTTCATTTCAATATCAAATGTTCTCGTCACGATATGGCTGAAATATTGCCGATGTGGCGTTATAACTCGCTCACTCACTCCTTTGAGTAACCAAATAAATTATACCCACCTCACTCAAACATTGCCATTTTCCATTATTTGTGAAAATAGAATAAAGTTTAAATGTTGGTTAACGTGTGTGTTATTTATATTTGATCTGTAATATGAGGAAAGATAAGAAAGACTGCAAGTTGTCAAGTTCATGTGCTGAAACAGAACCTCACAATATACCTCAGTTATTCTATATATCCTCAGTAACCTCCATATGTAGCCCATGGGTCTGCTTACTTCAAATTCTACTAGGTTTGCTGAATGTTACAGTACGCATGTTAGATCAAAATGTATTGAGTATTTACAAAAATTCAAGCGTACATGTAGGCAATAGACTTGAAAGTAATTGGGTTTTCACATAAATGTTTGCGTAATTTACGCAAATATGTACCTCTGGAACAAACAATTAAGGTAATTAAAGATTAAATATTTTAGTTTTGAAACCTGTTAACGGAGATTAACTGAGATTGAAATGCCCTATATAAAGAGCTCTCTGTAGTTTTCTATATAAAAATGGCAAATGCGCAGGTTAGAGTTACCTTTCTACCATGACTACGGTATCAGACGACGACTCACATTTCTTTGTTTTTCTTGTGTATTGAGCGTCCCAGGAACGCTAAATTCAGTGTTCACTGTAGCTTGACCGTTCCCGCGAAAGCTACACCTAAATTAAGGAGGTTTGGTCCAGATTTCGCTTTCCCGGGCCATAACCGCAGCAGGTATGGGATCCACAAGATGAAATGACATACTGAAACCTATAGGATCCATGCTTACCATAAGCTTAGATATTAAACCAAATTTGACCCCACATCATAGTTTTCTGTTGAATCCATGATTTGATCCTTAGCAAAGTGTGAATAGTATACAATGCCACATTAGTTAGTGTATTGCAGGTATATATATTGGCGTGAACTGCCTCTGCGTGTGTGAGTGTGTGTGTGTGTGTGTGCGTCCGTGCGTTTGCTTATATGAAGGTTTATGTATATAAGTGTTCTTATATATGAAGGCGTACATGTATATGTGTGTTTGTGTATTTATGCCTATGTACATAATATTTTTATTTAATTATGAATTATATGTATATTTCTGATATTCTTCAAAGAGAGTTTCTGTTTTTGATATAACTATATTTCTGTTTGTCACTTTGAAATCTTAAACAATTCAATGTCAGTATATATTATTTTGGAGAGGGACAACTGTTGCTCTTTAGAATGGAAGTGACAAAAATCACTTAAACAGGTGACAAAAACAGAAACGAAAAAAGAACATCGATGTTTGCTTTTTCGTCAAGACCTTGGATAATTATCCACTCGAAATAGCGTATCCGCCATTCTTCTTAGGTCGGATAATGAGTATTATCATGGATATTGCCTTCTTTATTATCATCATGAGTTATTAAATTAAGCATTTACCCGGGGGTTTTTTCTTTGTTGGTTTAGCCAAAATGTTGATCATTATTCGCACTACGTTCTTTATAGAAGACAAGAAACTAAATTCAACATTTTGTCAGTTCCAGTTCAAACATAAGACAGGTGCACAAAGTCTGTGTCACACTTGAATGACTTTAATTACCTTTCCGTAAATGTTGGTGACACACCTTTTGACAGGTAGCTCATTAGGTAATCCATGTTGATAGCTGTTACAACTCTGGTTAATTAGCACATATTTTAGCACCCTTGTCATAAAAACACATGTCAAAACAATAGGAGAAGAGCTGTTTGAAGTTTGTTTTTGTTTTTTCATAACAGCTGTACTATTGTGCTATTTGGAAAAAATAGTAACAGGTTTTTTTATATCAATGAATTTTCGGAAACATGTTAACATGTCAGGGAAAAGCGAAAATGCGACTTTAGTCGTCAGCACTTGATATTATTTCAATATATTTAGCATGCATAATTCATTGTTTTCAATCCCCAATGCAACTTTTGAATCACTGTTCGTTTTATCGTCATTTGCAAAAACAAACCAAAGGCGATTTGGGCGGTATGCGCATGCGCAAATATTTTAACGCTGTGCATTGTGGGATATGTTCTAAATCCAAAACGACTTTGAAGAAGTATATTTAGCAACTAGGTTGTTTATTTTGCAGAACAAGACGAATTCAGTGTTGATTGGCGGATTACCTGTGTTAATTGTACAGTCTATAGGACTGTCAGTGTAAACAACCTTCTCGGAGTCCTTCAAAATTGTCGACAAAGGTAATTTGGGGAGCGAAACGGAGGTCTTCACGTCTGTGGTTTGACAGCTGATTTTTCCATGGCTGTTCTCTACACTCTTGAGGAAAAGGACATGAAATTCGTCGAAGATTCAACAACAGAACAAGTTGTCCTTGACAGAAGCAAGCACAAACTTTCTCCACTACCGCCGTGTTTTAGTATAACGAACTTATTACTCACTACGCCCTGTCACTTGTGTTGTTAAACAGGAAGAGATTTGTTTGTAATCGTCCTTTGGGATTTCACAATAATACGAAATTGAAAGAACTGATTTTTGTTGGTAAATTTAGACCAGCACTCGAAAACAGTTGCCTTCGGAGATTGGATTTGCTATTAACTTGACAGCCATGAAGTTGTTGGAAAATTCAAGATTTGAAGCGGTCAATTCTGCTCTTGCAATTGAGCTTGAGAATTGCAGAATTGATGGCAGGTAAGGTCAAGGTCATCGTTATAAATAAACATGTCTCATCACTCCACACATTATATTTTACAACAATGATATACACAGATGTGACACTATGAAAGCTGATTGAGGCTAGGAAAGAGTTCCTTCCGTTCCCCCAACTGTAAACCAAACTCTAAACCTAGCCCTAACTTAAATTTTGGACTTTTAATCATTTTGTGAGTTCTCTAGTAATTGTTGTGTTAAGTTTTGTTTATAATTCTAGAATATTTATACTTATTATTTGGGATGGGGGAACGGGAGGAACTCTTACCGAGGCTAGAATGCACTTTACCGGGCGCAGCCCTCGCTGCTCCCTTTACGATCCTTAGGGTTAGGGTTAGGCACCCTTTGCTATCCTTAGGGATAGGCACCCTTTACGATCCTTAGGGTTAGGGTTATGAAAACACAGCAGCGCTAATTAATCTGAAAAAGTGCGCCCGGTAAAGTGCAGTACTCCCCTGATTGAAATATCAGTCCGATTTACCAGTTCGTGTTGATCACGTCATGATCATGATGATGTTGGGTTGTTTTTTTTAGCTTGTTCAACTGTCAGCAATATTTCAATGTTTGGAGCCCAATGTTTATACACAATGCTTAGCTGTATTTATCATGTTTATAATTAAGTGTACATTTTTCAATTTCTGTTTTATTTATCAGTGGTGTAGTATGACCATTTCTGACACTGACACAGCTTTGCAAGGTGGCAATGGATTATAACTATGTAAACTGCATGATCTAAAGTGATGGTATGCATGATCGTCGTGATGATCCATCAATGTTTCAGGTTTCCTGTGGAGCAGGATAATTTTGATAATTATCAACATGATCAGGTTGAAAAAAATGTAATGACACACATTCGTTTAGGATGATGTAGTCAGCCTTACCAATATTATGATCATCTATTTGAAAGCAAACTCAAGTCATATGTTCATGGATTGAAATAGGTACCAATCTCCCTATGCTGATCATGAGGGGTGATCAAATGACCCAGATGGACTATCATTTTTCTATTAATTGCTGACTTTGGTTGAAATATCAATATAACAACGAATCTAATCAGTTGTAATGATAGTAGTAATCAGTTGGTCTTGTGTGTTTGTCTTGTGATGTATGTAGGCTTTTAGGTACGATGATGTTAAATGGTTTTGTTACAGGATCGAGAGTTATTCCTGTAAGATGGCAGGGAATGACAAACGTTTGTTCAAGCTCTTGTCAAGTGAAGCAAATGAAGGAGGAAATGCAACAGGCGGGCTCCAGGCCTTGTCTCCTCCACAGAGCACTCTGTCACACAGCCCTGTCAGGTATCAATACATGTACTCAAATTCTTTATAAAAAATCAAGGTTAGAATTGGTTTTCATCAACCCATGCTTGTCGTAAGAGGCTAACAGGATCTGGTGGTAAGACTTGCTGACTTGATCATGTTGATTGACACGTGTCATCATATCCAAGTTGTGTAGATCAATGCTCATGATGTCAGTCACTGGATTGTCTGGTCCAGGGTGTATTATTTACAGACCAGCTTCATATACCTGGAATATTGCTGAGTGTGGAGTTATACTGACTGACTGACTGAGTTTATTTTTACGCCGCTTTAAGCAATATTCCAGCAATATCACGGCGGGGGACACCAGAAATGGGCTTCACACATTGTACCCATGTGGGGAATCGAACCCGGGTCTTCGGCGTGACGAGCCAACGCTTTAACCACTAGGCTACCCCGTCGCCCCTGGAGTTATACAATAAACAATGTCTTTATCATAAAGTTGTCTTTAATAATTTATGTGATGTTTCACCGATGTTCATGCAACTAGCAAAGCAAGAAGAAAAACAGGATCATAGATATTCAATGGACACATTTATTACCATCTGTACTGAATTATGCCAGTAAATCCTCACAACATTATTTACTTAAGGACATCCAATACAGTATGGCCAGGGCTCCAGATAACTTTTGGGGGTGCGAGTGTACCTACACATCATATTGCAAGTGGAGGTGTACTGAGAATTTTGAAGGAGTACTGACATGTTTTTGTGTGAGCGAATTGGTGATGTGGTTTGCCTGGACGATTCTCGATCACTATTTCCAACCATGTATTTGTATTTGAAGACGCGTGAGAAATAACTGAGCAATCGTGTGATGCTCGAAATGTCAGGTCCGACTGGATATAAATAGGAACAGTGTAGTTTTTAGCCAATCGAAAAATAGTGATGCATATCGTTGCATGGCAACGCAAGTGATTCCTACTGTCGGGGTTTCCTCACGTGTCAAATCGTGTTTCGCAAAAGAAACTTGACAAGTATTTATCCGAAATAGATTTCCATTTGCAGGATACTCACGGAAATTAAATGTTAGACATACAAAGGTATTTATGTGCGTACACGATACGCTTGAAATCTTATATTATGTCGTACTTAATTGATTTTGAGGCGTACATTACGCCTGTGCGCCCCTTATCTGTAGCCCTGATGGCGATGTTTGTTTTCAGTGATATGTGACAGTAAAATGTCTGGCAGTTACAGCACTGTCCTCTATTAGAATTAAAGTAAACTACAGTTATAACAAACTCAAAGGGACCACTGATTCCAGTCCATTATGACCATGGTAACCATAGTTCATGATAAGCATTTCGGCTAATATGTACAGTTGAGTTGTGACGATATATTGTAGTATCGATAATCGTGATACTTTTTCTGACAATAAATATATCAATACTTTTTTCCGTAGCATGATATGTATCGTTGACCTTAAAATTGTGAATTTTCAGCAGAAATTGACAGTTATGTCAAAATTTACACTGTTTCTTGTTATCAAAATACACTTTTTTAAAGAAAATAACTAAAGATAGCATATCATGATATGCATTGTATCGAATTGTATTGTTCCATGATATCGCGATACGTATCGTATCGTGAAATTTCTGTATCGTCACACCTCTAATGTACAGCATGTGGGCTGTTTGTTTTAACCATCGGTTCATTGTAAGTATGTTAATTATAAACAGGGTTAATTGTGTGATTACACAATGCCATTTAGAAAGTGGTCAAATGTAACATGTAATATTTGGGATTACACTTTCTTAGTTGTGTAATCATAGCTTTTGGCTGTGGGAGCTGTGCCAATTAACACTTATCAGAGGGGTACACATAGTCCGCAGTGTAGACTACCACTCAGTACCAGCTATCCGACTTCCATTTTTGTGGAAGTCGCAGTGGCTCAGCGGGTTAGGCGGCTGACTTTGTGTGCTGGTGATTAGGTGCCTGGCGCTGAGGGTGTGGGTTGAATTCTGGATGGGATTCAACCCAACAAAAGTACTTTAATCTGTAATTTACTAAGAATGTGTAATCCCAAAGATGACATGTTATAGTTTACTGAGGTTTATATGTTTCATGTAATTGAATCCTGACCAGGTCTGAGGCTTTTGGCTGCAGATAAAATAATGTTAAACATAAATTTATGTTGAACATCAAATGGACAAGACAGAAATGACTGACTTAGGATGCCTTCTGCAAGATATATCATTAGTGATCTCTAAGTCATAAGTTTTGAAAAATGTGAGGGTTTGACAAGGACATATTTTATGGTTCTTCTTTGTTTGTAAACACTGGTTATAAATACTGTAATCATAAAAGCAGGGGTGGAAATAACTTTCAAATTGCTAGTGTACTCCGGTACAGTTGCACATGTAAAATCACTTGCCCTGATCATTTTTCCACTATACCGGCCGTTTTCTTGTTAATTTGTAAGTAAACAACATAATTAACATTGGAATATCAACTGGACACCGGTACAGTGTGATATACAAATTTGTTTGCCCGACAGAAAAAAACACTGGACTCGGGCGTCGGGCAATGGGTTATTTCCACCCCTGAAAAGGTTACAATTGCAATCGTTTGTTCTTTAATTCAAATTGTTTTGAATTTACCAAACCATGATAAAATTCCCTGCAGCTTTGGTCAACAGGTCATGTGTGTCCATAAATGTTGTTTGCTTCAGGCAAAGGATTGTGTTGTTTGCCTGAGGCACAACCAGGTGTTGCTAAACATAATCTCCACATGCTGTGTGGCTAGTTTATAACTCATGTTTCATCAGCCGTGTCCGACTCACATTTGGGATCTGTAAATAATGTACCAGAATTTATTATGGAAGTTGACAAAACAGAAGGTCTTAAATGTTCTGCTATTCGTACATAAAATTTGACATTATGATCATACACGCAAACAAAGTTTATTGACTAAAAATAGCTGTATTTGGGTGGTTGTTTTCTGCTTTTTGTTTATTCATAAAACAATTAATTAGACCCAAAGATTTCATACATTAATAGAGTTACAAACTTCTTAGAAGTGTTCAATATTATGTTGTCTTCTGTGTTCTTGTGATCTTCTGTTGTAATATTTGAATCCAGACACCCCTTAATAATGAAATTAAAAATTAGGGTTATGACAAGGACAATTGATTTACATGTTAAGTTTTAAAAACTATTAACATAGTCAGGGCACGATTTAGTGCTTTGTTACTTGCACTGATGCAACCCAATGTTACAAAGTGCAACCTAGTTATTTGTCTAACTAGTAACTTGCACCAGGTCAATTTTTGAGAAATAAATCAACAATAAATCTAACATTATAAGCATAATTATGTCAGCTCATTTTTCTTCTAAACTTTGAATAATTCAATAGCATATTTCTTTCATAACATATTGCAATAAGAGCAGTACAGCTGGAATTTGGCTGGTGCAACTAGGTTTTTATCTCAGGTTGCACCTGGTGCAAGTAGGTTAACATCTCTTAAATCGAGCCCTGATAGTTAATGTCCTGACTGGAACCTCTCAGTTCTCTAGCACAAGTGTCACTCAAGTGTCCAGTAAGGCTGTAACGATTCACTCGCATATTCGTTTAATCGAACCGTAGCCCCTCATGAATTCAATTCGTTATTCGTGGTAACCAGAACCGAATATTAACGAATATTTACGATTTTTTTCTTACTTGAACCCTTGTGTACTTTTGGAAAGTGAGATATGCAAGAATGGAATATGTACTAGCCTTGCAGTAGCGCAAGTCATGTGAGTTTGCCAAGGCCGCACATGGTACTGTGGATTAACTATTACATACCAAATTTTTAGTGTCAGGAGATCACTGGTTATTGCTGTGACAAATTAACACTGTCAACATGGGCGTCAATATTGTGCATAAATAACTTAACTACAATATTGTATTCGTGAAAAATTATTCGTATTCATTACCCAATATTCATGATATGTATCATATTCGCCACATAGTGTATTCGTTGCAGGCCTGGTGTCCAGTGGTAACAGTGCATGATGTTATTTCAGACAATTCAGTCACAGCTATGAGGGCGAGAGTTATCTCTGTGACACAATATCCACAAAGACATTGTTTTACCTCATCTCCACGCTGAATGCTTCCTTCAACCCAGACTACGACTTCAGCAATGCCAAGAGTGATGAGTTCAGTCGGGAACCGAGTCCACAGGTACTGTCCATGTTCTTAGAACTCAGATATCATCCTCATTGGTCCAGGGTACCTACTCTCGATTCCATTGTAATAAATACCCTGGAACAATTGGCAACCTGGATGATATTTTGATTCCCAGATATCCAACACGATTGTGATTGTTTATAGGTGCTGGGATATAGAGTCCAGTGTTGAATAATATTAACTCATTCCCTGATTATATATATACAGTGGACTCTAGAAAGAGAAATTTCTTGTATTTTAGTGCTGATGGCAAGGTCATGAAGTAAATCTGGTAATTTTATAGTTGCGTCACAGTTCTGGTACCTGAAGGGCAAAGTCATCAATCATATTTCTGTACCACCATTACTATATATGGGATTTATTCAGGATTTCATTCTGTACCTTTGGCAGATGATTTGTTGAAAAAGATGATCTTGGTCAAAGTTTGTATTTTCTTAAAAGTCCCTGGGTTTTTTATTCAGGGCTATTTTCACTTTCCATTCAATACTGAATTCAGTGCAGCTAAGCCATACAGCATCTTTTTGTTGATTGTTTCTCTTATCAGTGAAATTTTAGTCAATGCAAATCAATAACAACACTTACTGTCGTATTAACATGAACAGGCAATTATAAAAAAATAATTTGGGGGAAGTTTTACAGCTTCAATCTTAAGTTTGAATATCAACCTCAGAGCAAGTCTATATAAATCCATGTTGTTTTTACACGAAACCACTTGAAAACATGACATACACTTGATAAATGCTGAACATGTGGAGATGTTTATAGAGAACAATATGATTCTTGAAATACATTTGTGTGTTTCAAAATGAAAAGGGGTATTATGAATGTTAGGGAACGTTATGAAAAGGAAGGTGGAACATTTTTAAGATTTCATCTCCCTATTATCTAGAAATGGTGAAATGACATTAATTTCTTGTTACAGTTTGTCGTGAACGGCATTGACAGTCAGCTGTTTGCCTCTGCGGGAGACACATTTGGTGCTCTAAAACCTCACTTATGGGCAGCTATTGAGGAGGAAATAAACTTGCAGGACTGTGATGTCTACAGGTAACTTAGCCACTGAAAATTACAAATCGATGACAAGAAACTGCCAGTTTATGACATGTAGCTAATATTCACAATATTAGCTTAAAGGTCTTGTACAAATCGGGGTGGTGGGGTAGCCTAGTGGTTCAAGCGTTCACTCATCATGCTGAAACCCAGGTTCGATTTCCCACATGGGTACAGTGTGTAAAGCCCATTTCTGGTGTTCCCCGCCATGATATTGCTGGAATACTGCTAAAAGTGAGGGGCTCTGGGGTAGTCTAGTGGTTAAAGCGTTGGCTCGTCACGCCGAAGACCTGGGTTCGAATTCCCACATGGGTACAGTGAGTGAAGCCCATTTCTGGTGTCCCCCGCCGTGATGTTGCTGGAATATTGCTAAAAGCGGCGTAAAACCAAACTCAGTCAGTGCTAAAAGTGACGTAAAACCATACTCACTCATTTTCTATTTACACAAGGCATGAGACAATGTATGAACACAATTTTAAGGTTTGTCTGAATAAAGTCATATTTTTCTCCTGCAAATAATTTGAGGAAGATGCTTATGGATCATAAACTATGTGATGATGTCACTATTATATTTTTAATGGTGAGTCGAGCAACAGGTACTTTCCAGCAAGAGATACAGTGTTAGTAAAATGTTCTTGCATGTCAAAACTGGCTGTAGGTTTCATGCTTGATGGAGGAAAGTAGTATATTCAAGCATGTGAAGTACTGACAATGGTATAAGATTTATTGTGCTAATACATCACTTTCATGTCTGTGCAGCTACAACCCAGACCTAGCATCCGATCCATATGGAGAAGAGGGCTGTATATGGTCTTTCAATTATTTCTTCTACAACAGAAAGATGAAGAGGATTGTGTTCTTCACATGTAGAGCTACCAGGTGAACATTTTTCTTGACATGGAGAGGGCAGAGAATAAAGTCTTTCATAGTACAATGTTTTGCATATGGTAGGAGAATAATGAAAGCAAACTTTGCATGCTGAATGCCATGAGAGCATAAGGCAACAAGATGTAGTGATGAAATTTAGGACAAAGGGAGATAATCCATTTTACTAGTTGTCTCCCTTTTATCTGTCTTCCTATGAACACGCTATTTTAAAAAGAAAAATGTTTTGATCATATGATGTAACATGATTTACAGACAACAGGAATATTTACTACCCCTAGATTTAAGTTATATACCTGTACACAATTTCGAATGACTTATTTGACATACTTGCCCTGTAGGTTTGATGGCCAACTTCAACTTTTTAAAACCCACAAGAGAAGATTGGATGTTAAGGCTCAGTGACTTTGCCGATGAACATTGGCCTGAATTGTTTGTCATGATGTAAATACCTGGACTGTTTGGTCCAGACTTGATTGTGTATTGTGCCGTCATTCAGCTGGAATGTTAATGATGTTTATGAGTGCAGAGTTAAACAGCATTTAAAGATGATTCAGCTTATGGGTAGTTGAAATGCATGTGTGTTACTGTTTCAGCGCCTCTGTTCCCTATGGAGACTCTGGTATTGGCACCGATGTCAGCATGGACTTGACAGATGACACCATGATGACAGAGTAGGTTACCATGGTTACTTGGTAGTCTTCAGTACACAAAGCTACACATGAAGATCTGAGTTCATATTAATTTTCTGGAAGAAATGCTTGAGGTCTTTAAAAAGGGAAGGGTGGTCATCCTCGATGACTTGGATTGTACATGTCATCATATCTCAGTTGTGTAGATTGATGCTTATGGTGTCAGTATTAGTCTTAGTCTTAGTCAGTCAGTTTTAGCCTACTAAAGCTGCTTTGATGAAATGGGCTCAGTATTAAACCATCTTTACTATCCATGAATACTTAGAGATTTATTGTCTTATCTGAATCAAATTGGCAGTTGAGTAGCCTAGTAATTAAAGTGTTCACACATAGAGGGCAGAGGTTAGATTCTTCACATGGGTGCACTGTGTGAGACCCTTTCAGCTTTTCGTTTTCTCTCTCTCTCTCTCACTCTCTCTCTCTCTCTCTCTCTCTCTCACTCACTCACTCACTCACTCACTCACTCACTCACTCACTCAACCACTCAACCACTCAACCACTCAACCACCCAACCACTCACTCACTCACTGCAAACCTGGGCCTTAATACCTGCCTCTGAGCAGGTCTAGTTAATCACTATGATATAAGGAATATTTTCCTCTGTATTTATACTGTGTTTCTTTGTTTTCAGGGATGATATTGGGATGTAAACAACGTCTGCAGAGCATCTGTTTTGAATTCTGTTGTCTTTTCAAGAACTTTTGCATAAGCTTTGAAGTACTGTCGCTACTTCTCTGACAGCATTATTTGATGCTTTGGGTATAGACGGTTTGCCACTTTCTCTTTCCTTGAGTGCATATAATACTCAACATAGAAAACCGGATTGAAGATGATTCGTCCACATCCTGAGCGATCCTTGGTGATCTAATATTTTATTTCCCTTTGTCTCACAAACATTACTATGTATTGAACACGTTGAACCCAGAATATATGTTTTAGGGTGGTTCACAACTAAAATGATTTTTTGTAACAGTTGCTAGTAAGAAATAATGGTTCTAGTTGTCATGACAACAATTGATCATGATTAATTAATATGTTACTTTTCATTTTACTTTCATTTACCTCTCACAACTGATCTATGCTTCCTTTTCTATCATTGTTTTAATTTCATTTAGTCTATTTTTGATTTAGTGTTTGATCATGTTGATTTTCAATTCAACCTTGTTCCTAAAGTAAGCTGTATGTATTTTATGTTCGATTGTTAAGAAAGTTGAATCATTCCATCATAAGTATAGTGTAATATTATATAGGACCATGACCTAGTCCACTGAAATATCATAGAATGAAAGTATTGATTTTAAACTTGTTAAAGGTTTAGCCAGAATTTTGAACAATTTGGGTTTATCTTTACCAATAAAATCAGAGAAAATGACTTTTTAAATTATGATACATGCCTTCTGTTATAGATTAGTTTTTTGTGTTAGTGTTACTTTCTGAAAAGGCTATAGAAGGTATTTCTAGTATGTTTAGTTCTATATACCCAGTATTTGTTCCCACTCAACATTGATCAAAGACATCAGGAAGAGTATTTGTACACAGGACCATGTTTTGACGGAGGTTTGTGGGACAGAATGGTGCACTATCATTACAGTGGCTATTGGCTACCGAGTAGCAAGGCAGGAACTGATGACCTGGCTTTTTCCATGCTGAAAGATGGGGACTAGACTTTCAATAAGCAACTTGCTTTTGATGTGCACATTCGTGAATGGAAAAGGAAATATGCAGCCAAGTTTGATATGTGGCAACAAAGGATTTTCTTGCTGCTTATCAAGTTTATTGTTTGCAAAGCAAATGTTGTGCGGTAGATATGTGTGTGTATAACAATTGCCATCTTGATTTTGCACCATTGAAGAAAACATTCATCTTTGGTTAACCCACCTCTGCAATGGTAGCTAAACAAAAAGGCAGCATATCTGTTGCAGTATGTCCTAATGGAGGACAGGTACAGACTGATTTAACCAAGGGAGGTAACTGCAGTTGTGTTAGTGAAGATTATGAAAACCAGCAAAAAGAACATTTTGTTCTAGAAATCGCTCCGAATCTTTGCATTAGCAAATAAGACATACATGTGATTTTTTCTGGAGAGATTGGATAATGTGATCTCAATGACAACGACAACAATTGGTGACAACGGTGGAAAATTCATGCTTGCAGTTGGTCATCATTAATTCGTGATTACAGGAAAATCAAAACAAAATTCACACTGGAAATAGGAGTTATGAAAGGCTTGCGATGGAATTTGTGAAATATAATCTGAATTGAAGTGTCAATACCCCGAAGCAACAGTATTACAATGAAATGGGGATTGTCACTAATGGCCAACCGGAGAGGAACATGATTGGTTGGTTGTCACAACTGGATTCGCGTCATGAGATGATGATGATGATGATGATGATGATGATGATGATGATGGACATGTTTCATACATGAGGTACATTGCTGTAGTCTGCTGGTATGTGTACCTAATGTAGGGCATGCCTGTGTAGCGATGGTAATGGAGGAGATTCCCGAGAAACTGTGATGTTGATCTTTATCACACGATGTAATCTTTATCACGTGATGTAATCTTTATCACATGATGTTATTCATTATAACCCTCATCATGACTGCATCCTGTATCAGCCCTTCTCATATGCATATCGCTAATATCATCAGTTTTGATATCACACAGCCTGATAGTTGCATGTCATATTCGTTTGTTTTGTTTATTGTAACACCAGAAAAGTATTCAGTTGAGTTGAATATACTTGACAATCTTGTATGGGATATATATTTATATATATTGACTCAATGTGGTGTTAACATGAGGGAGGATATAATTTGGTTGTACATAAAGAAATGGCCATGTTTCAAATACCAAAACCACAGATGTTTTTGAATGTATCTCCAATTTAAAATAAGTAGCTCGTTTGAAGTTTAGCACTGTGTTTGGTGAGTAACCAACAGTCCTGTTGATTACCATTATACAATACTTGAGCATTTACACAGTATCCATTGATTAAATCACTGCTTCGTCAAATCATTGCCTGTGGGGTTATGGGTTATAGCTAGGTGACACAGGTTGTTGTTTAGTTAACCTAAGGTTATGGGTTCGAATCCCAGTTTGTCCCGAGGACTCTAGGTTTCTCAACACCACAACCCTGCTCATAAGCTTTTAGTGGTAAATGTCCAATATCTGCATCAGTACAGGCTTTCCTCACACAATAGGGCGGTGGGGTAGCCTAGTGGTTAAAGCGTTGGCTCGTCACGCCGAAGACCCGGGTTCGAATCCCCACATGGGTACAATGTGCGAAGCCCATTTCTGGTGTCCCCCGCCGTGATGTTGCTGGAATATTGCTAAAAGCGGCGTAAAAAACAAACTCAGTCAGTCCTCACACAATAAGCTTGATCAATGCTCATACTGTTGATCACTGGATTGTCTGATCTAGACTTGATTATTTACAGACCACTGCCATATAGCTGTTATATTGCTGAGTGTGGTGTAAGACTAAACTTACTTATTGACTTGCTGGGATGTAACTGAGATACAGGCATTAAAACCCATCTTCCTCACTCACTCACTCCGTCACCTTAAGATAATGTAGATAAACTACTTCAACCCATGGTATTCATCTGGTATGTGTTTCTGGTATTTGATACATGGTCTATGACAAAGAGTGTCTGTTCTACAAGGACAGACCTGTAGATTGGTACTGAACATTGTTCTGTCTGTATATACTTGTGTAGGGTGAATTCATTTTTAATCATGTATTGCTGGTCACCTTGTTATGTTTTTATCAATAATAGCTGTACAAATGCTTTTTTGTACTCTTATCTATCATTTCTTTTACTGACATGTTGTAAGTATTCTTGCCTTATTAAATTTGGTGAAAACACACTACCATCTTCCTTGGGTTTTTTTTTGTGTGTGATTAATCCATATCTTACTCTGCAGTTATTATGAGCAAACTCACATAAAGAGAAATTCTAATATGCTTTGCTAAAATATCAAAGGCAATGACAGTACTTTTCGCTCTACCACCAGTTTTGCCCAAACTTTTATACTTAAAGCACGAGGACTTGAACTATTATGACATTACCACATGGATGCAAGCATCATGCTTTATTATAATAGTTCAGGGCAAAACTAGAGAAAACTCCTCAGGAGGTAGAGCGAACTCAAACATTCTGTAGGATGGAGCCTTGTTTTATGAAAGAGGATGATTTGATGTCATGGATGAAGGAGTGCTTCCAATCCATGCATTCCATGGTATGTGCTAGGATATGGGTCTTGGTATCATTTTCATAGGATTATGAGGAAGTTGGGTAGCTTCAAGGTAGGTTCAAGTGTTCTCCCACATCATGGCAATTCCCGACCGCCTCCGTGGTGTAGTGGTTAGAGCGTCAACCCGGAGAGCGGAATGTCGCGGGTTCGATCCCCGACCGCGTCATACCAAAAGACGTTAAAAAATGGTACTTGTTGGTCCCTGCCTGGCGCTTGGCATTAATGGGTACAACAAGGACTGGTCGGCTCGGAGTCAGTATAATGTGTCTGAGTAGGGTATCCATTCTTCACTGTGGCATGGTATCTCAGTGGGCTAGCACTATAAAACCAGCTTAAGTCTGGGCTAGTACAAGCAGCCGCACATACACACACAGACATGCACGTCGTCATATGAGCGAAATATTCTCAAGCACGACGTTAAATCCAATTTCACCTCACCTCACCTCACCTCACCTCACCTCACTTCACCTCATGGCAATTCCCCACGAAGTTGAACACATTTAGATAGGGACAAGCCCATCTTTGCTGCCTGTTCACCAGGGTGATACGTGCTTGAAAGTTCCTTAAAGTGATTTAAAATGAAGCCACATTCATGTTCATTCATTTATAAATACATTCATTGGGAGTAATGGGGTTTTAAAATCAACACGATGTACTCTCGACTGGTCATTTAGAAGCTTATTGACACAAGTGATCGGAAGGTTGCACCACCAAGGAAGCTTATAGTTACAGAAAAGATCTGTATCAGTGATTGTCGGTAGGCATTGAAAATATAGCTATGTGATTGTAGGTTCGTACGTTCGAGCTGACAACACTATATTAAGGATATAAGCAAAAAGTCCCTCACCTCCGTACGCACACGCATGATAAAACTGATAACCGGCCGCTACAGATATTAGAAAGTAAATTCGGCTTTCTAAGTTTGCTCCTAGAAGGGAGGTTCGTACACCTGCACTTCCACCCTCTACTCCAGAATCTGGACCAGCGCATGTTTGTAATACGCTGGCATTTTCAATTCCCTACCCAATTTCGTTTCGAGATTACAACATTGCTATATCGCAGTGCACAAGATTTGTCCCATTACTTGAGCGTTGTTCATGGCATGTGAAGCGCCGTACAATCTCTAGCAATCCTCGCTTTTGCTTGTGTCATATCACTATATTTCACCCACGGAACTACAACCTCCGTGGTCAGCGAAGTTCGTGTAATTTGATTATAGTCGGGACTCACGACTGAAATGAAATGGAATGCAGATTTAACGTATACAAAAGTAATATTTCTTTGAGTGGCATTATTTAGAAGTTTAGTAGGACATACTTGCTTGACAACGATGCAAGAATCTGTATCGAAACGTCGCACTACCTGAATAAAGAAGTTTGTCCGTATATGCAATAATTGTTTGAGTTTCACTATACAAGGTGGGGATTTCAAATCATGTTTTATTTTGTTTTCTTTCGTTGTTTATCTCACAAAACGTTATATTCATGAAATTGACACGGTCAGTCAGTAGTCAAAGTCATAAAGGTTAAACTAGTAAATGGGCACTAAGTCACTACACTGCTGTACCCGCACCACGTGAAATGGATTTGATAAGGTGTAATGACGTCATTCATTTATCAATTGGCACCAGTGACGTCATATTGCAATGGACATAAGATATGTTGTGTTTATTACCAATATATGGTGAAACATAACCAGTGTCATTATGTCATATGTGCACATATCACTTTTGCCTAGCAACCACAGTTTCTGTATTTCGTCGTCTGTGACGTCATTAAACAATTGAACATGACGTCTATGAAGAGGGCCGTCACTATTGCTTACCGTGTTTTACTGCACAAATGTACATGAATAAAATGAATAATAAAGAAATTATTACACTCAAGCAAGATATGTCATGACTTATATGGAACGAGTGTGAAATGTTGTACATAATTTTGCGCGAGTTTCGTATAAGTCGTATTACACACTTGCTCGTATAATAATCTATTTATTACCGTGGAAGATAGTGCAGTGAAATATTACACTAGTGAAATACGGCTAGACGTATGACGTCATAATGTTTACAGTTATGACGTCACAATGCTAATACCTCTGTCACAATGATTCTAGACCTTTCTTGACACGCGGAAAGCTGAGAGTCATCACACTGTAGCCAGTGTCTTATCAATTTATATTGAAGAGAAATCAACAGAATACTAGACTCGCGTCCGTGCAATACAAATCATTAACTCGTCTGATAAAGATGTTATTACACGGAAGATCGTTTAGTATCCTCTATTTATTATGGAAATAGAACACTCGGTAAATGTGCAAAATATTAATCGATAGAATGCAAACAGATATATTAACTAGTAGTGATACCAGTGCTGTTTTGGCTATGAAACTACCAGATAGATAGGTTATATTTTGTGAAAGTGCAACACCAAAAGGATGATTTTTGTGTAAACTAGCCACATGTTCTTCGTTGTTCATACGGGGGCGGTGGGGTAGCCTAGTGGTTAAAGCGTTGGCTCGTCACGCAGAAGACCCGGGTTCGATTCCCCACATGGGTACAATGTGTGACGCCTATTTCTGGTGTACCCCGCCGTGATATTGCTGGAATATTGCTAAAAGCGGCGTAAAACCCTTTTCACTCACTCACTCGTTGTTCATACCATCAATCTCTAGTGTATCTCTAATGTTTCACCCAGACTCTCGAGATTAAATTAAAAATGGACACAACTCAAGTTAGACATTATTCCGGTTTTCAATTGGTGTTATTTGTACATTTTGTAGATGCATACTTTCAAAAATGCGTAAATGACTTTTTGCCGTGCCAAACCGAAAGTTCATCTGATCCACACTCGATTACTTACAGGCCGCCATGAAGGTGGAATATCGCTGACTGCGGAGTTAATCCAGGGAAACCAATTATGATATCACGGTTACTGTTTGACATTTACGTATTACTGTCGTATCGCGAA